AAACAACTCCATAACAGGCGTAATACCCGACAATATAGGCGACTTCAAAAGCCTTAAGTTTCTTGATGTCTCTGATAATCTATTTTCTTCATCGTTACCACCGGGGATTGTTAAATTAGAGAGCTTACTGAATCTCTCATTAGCTGGGAACAACTTCTCGGGCTCAGTTCCAGATTCAGCATCAGGGCTTGTTTCAATCCAATCTTTGGACTTAAGTAGCAATTCCTTTTCTGGGTCGCTGCCGAAATCATTGACGAGGCTGAATAACTTGGTGTATCTAAACCTATCGTCTAATAGATTTATCAAGACAATCCCAAAAGGGTTTGAACTGATTTCTGGTCTTCAGGTGCTGGACCTGCATGGCAACATGCTTGATGGTCATCTTGATGGGGAGTTTTTCCTTTTGACAAATGTCAGTCATGTTGATTTTAGTGGGAATATGTTAGTGAGCTCTAGCTCTCAGAAACTGTTACCTGGTATCTCTCCAAGTGTTAAGTACTTAAATCTTAGCCACAACCTACTTACTGGGTCACTGGTGAATGGAGGTGAGCTAGAGCTCTTTGAAAACTTGAAAGTGTTGGATCTGAGCTATAATCAGTTTTCTGGAGAATTGCCTGGATTCGATTTTGTTTATGAGCTTCTGGTTCTCAAGCTCAGCAACAACAAATTTTCAGGGTTTATTCCTAATGATTTGTTGAAAGGAGATTCCTTGCTGGTAACTGAATTGGATTTGAGTGGCAACAATCTCTCAGGCATGCCTTGCATTTCTATTAGTTTCTTTGAGCTACATTATTCTTATGTTCAGTAATAAATGATATTAGCTGCTTAATCATGCTTACTTTGGCCTGTTATGCACCTGACATTTTACTTCGTCTTTCAGGGCCAGTAAGTACGATTTTGTCAACAACTCTTCAGGTACTTAATCTCTCCTCTAATGCACTCACAGGTGAACTTCCTGTTCTTACTGGAAGCCTTTCTGTACTTGATCTTTCAAATAATCAATTTGAAGGAAATCTGACTAGAATGGTGAAGTGGGGTAACATTGAATATCTTGATCTCAGCCAAAATCATTTGACAGGGTCTATCCCTGAGGTAACAGCACAATTTTTGCGTTTAAATTATCTCAATCTATCTCGAAATTCCTTTAGTAGCTCTCTCGCAAAGGTTATTACTCAGTATCCAAAGCTTAGAGTCCTTGATCTCAGTTCCAACCAGTTAGACGGGTCTATTCTAGCTGATCTCTTAACTTCATCCACATTGCAAGAACTCCACCTCTCGAATAATTTACTCACTGGTGCAATTGAGTTCTCTCCACCTAGTAAATCCACTCTGGAGGTTCTTGATCTTTCCCATAACCAGTTTAATGGCTTTTTTCCTGATCGACTTGAATCATTCACTGGACTTCAAGTGCTCAATCTTGCAGGAAATAATATATCTGGTTCTCTGCCAACTTCTATGGCTAACATGAGCTCTCTAAGCTTATTAGATATATCCCAGAATCATTTTTCTGGTCCTTTACCAAACAACTTGCCCAACACCCTTGAAGCCTTTAATGTTTCATACAATGAGTTTTCTGGGGTTGTTCCTGAAAATCTGAGGAAGTTTCCTAGTTCTTCTTTTTATCCTGGAAACGCCAAATTACGTTTTCCAGGTGGTCCTCCTGGATCAGGCAACTCCCCTGCTGAAAGTTCGAAGAAGAAATCTATCAACACCATTGTCAAAGTCATTGTGATAGTTTCATGTATAATTGCTGTTATCATTCTTATCCTGCTTGCTATCTTCATACATTACATCCGCATATCGAGAAGACTGCCACCAGAACATGCTACAGAGAAAGATATACGCAGGCGTGCTCTATCAAACCCCTCTGGCACTACTGGAATAGGTGGTGGGGGGCCTTTGATTGTTTCAACAGAAGATCTTGTGGCTTCGAGGAAAGGATCATCATCTGGGATTATGAGCCCTGATGAGAAAATGGCAGCAGTAACTGGCTTCTCACCATCAAAGACTAGCCATTTGTCTTGGTCTCCAGAGTCTGGGGATTCATTCACAGCTGAAAACTTTGCAAGATTGGATGTGAGATCACCAGATCGATTGGTTGGTGAGCTGCATTTTCTTGATGAGACACTTAGTTTGACACCTGAGCAGCTATCAAGGGCCCCTGCCGAAGTGTTAGGGAGGAGTAGTCATGGGACTTCTTATCGAGCAACACTGGAGAATGGGGTGTTCTTGACAGTAAAGTGGTTGAGAGAGGGAGTAGCAAAACAGAGAAAGGAGTTTGCTAAGGAGGCTAAAAAATTTGCTAATATCAGGCATCCAAATGTTGTGGGTTTGAGGGGGTACTATTGGGGACCTACACAGCATGAGAAGCTCATTCTTTCAGATTATGTCTCACCTGGAAGTCTAGCAAGCTTTCTTTATGGTAACATTTTGCCCTGATATGTTTCTCAACTTAATAAATTAGGTTCATTGCGTGTTCCATTTCATCTTTCACTTAAAAGTCTTGCAATCTTATTTACGATAACATTTCTGGGTTCTTTTCTTTTGACATGTTGATTGTGATTGTAGATAAATAAATTATACAAAAAAGCTGATAAGAAATTCAATCAAATATACTGCTTGCAATTGCTAATAGCCTGGTATTCCTATGATTAGTACAACTTTGGCGTGGTTTTGGTAAACACACAATCAATCTACAGCTTTCCACTTGGGACTGCTGTCCCCAAATGCTTATGAATTTGGTAACATGTCATGGTGAATGATTGAATGGTGTGATCATTTCCTCATTGAAAGTAATGCTAAAAGTAAAAACTGCTGCTTGAAGGAAAGGGTCATCTTAAATAGAGAGCTCGTTTTCTTTGCTGTGCTTAAAAATGGTGATGGCAATGTCAACTATCTACTGGAATGTGCCATTTCCACAAAGCTTAGTTTTTGTATTGCATATCAAAGATGTATTAATATTATATGACTGTAATCTAATATGCCATTTTCACACTGAAGTTTTCCTCAACATATTGTTCTGTTTGGGTGGACAAACTTCACTTACATTGTAGAGACAGTCAGTCTAGGCTGATTATTTTTAGTAGTGACTACTTAAGGTTGAGAATGGCATGATCTATCATTCATGATAGTCTCTTCTCTTTTTGCATTGTGCATGCATGACTCTTATATTAGCTAAAAATTAATTTTCATTGATGATAAATCCTTTTTTTCAGATCGACCGGGAAGAAAAGGCCCTCCATTAACATGGGCCCAGAGACTCAAAATAGCAGTTGATGTTGCACGTGGCCTGAATTATCTCCATTTTGACCGGGCTGTTCCTCACGGTAACCTAAAAGCAACAAACGTACTATTAGACGGACCTGATCTTAATGCACGTGTTGCTGATTATTGCCTCCATCGCCTCATGACCCAAGCTGGCACCATTGAACAGATTCTTGATGCTGGGGTCTTGGGTTATCGTGCACCGGAGTTAGCTGCTTCCAAGAAACCACTCCCCTCCTTTAAGTCAGATGTATATGCCTTTGGAGTGATATTGCTGGAACTTCTAACCGGTAGATGTGCAGGTGATGTAATTTCTGGTGAAGGGGGAGGGGTTGATCTGACTGATTGGATGCGGTTGAAGGCTGCCGAAGGTCATGGCTCAGAGTGCTTTGATGCTGCATTGGTGTCGGAGATGGGGAATCCGGCAGCTGAGAAGGGAATGAAGGAGGTCCTTGGAATAGCTCTTCGATGTATACGATCTGTTTCTGAGAGGCCAGGTATCAAGACTATATATGAAGATCTATCATCCATATAGTTTTCATCGCACCTGGTTTATCTGGACCTGAATTTTGTGGGAATTTAATAGCTCATTAGCTCCCTTTTTTTAACATGTGATTTTGGCATTTAGTGTGATTAGCCAATTGTATTAACAACAGTTTGTTGTAAAAATGGAGCATATTTTGAATGGATACAAAATTTTCGCATGTTTGCCTTTTCCATGAGTTATTATCACCATCTGTTAGCTTTTCCAGTTCCATTGGCAGCTGCAATCTATAATTAGAGCATGTAGAAAAACTACATTGGCAGCAAAATTTTGACATAACAATTGTGTTTCTGCTGTGACAGTATATCAACTTCTAAATTAAAAATGTAAAACTTTTACATGATTACAGTCGAAGCCCTGAAATTATTCAAGTTATGAACCCACCTCTGTTTACATTTGACAATAATTGACATCAATGGTCATACTAAATTTATTGGCCATCCAAAGGACAAAATAAAGGAAGTTTGTGTCTGAGCTCAGTTGGGTACTCATTCTTTATGATAATGTTTATATGAAAAGGGGAAGCAAATCCATCTGAATCTTATCTTGTAATTCTAGTAGAAACATTTTATCTGCCTTTTCAGCTGATTCTTAGCCAATTCCAGGTTCCCTTTTGCATGTGCCTGTTCTTATTAAATAAATATATAAATTAATTAACATATATAAGAAATCAGTATGCTCAATCATCTGTTGGTGAGGTGGGGCATTTATATTTTAAAATAGTAAATAATAATAATAACAATAAGAAAATCTAGGTAAATACATTAGTAATAAAATTGACCACAAGACTAAGACCTCTGATAAAATAGTAAGATATTGTACTTTTATTTTATAATAAATAACAAAAAATAAAATAGAAAGGTTTTATACTTTTAAAAATTAAGGATGTGTTAAAAAAATAAACATAATAAATTCAAATTTTATATTCAAAATTAAAAAACGCCATTGTTAATTCTTTTGAAATAGTATTATTTTATGTAGTTAAATTTTTTTTAATTATATATGTGATTTTATGTTGAAGTGAACAAATATGATTCCGTTTTCAAGAAAAAAAAATCAATTGTAAAAAGGCCTAAATAGTTAATTTTTATTTTCTTTTAACTAATTTATTATAATTTTGTTAAAAAAAAAATTCCAAATGTTATAGTCCTAATAGTTTCTTCATTTATAACTATAAAAAACAGGCCAGGTTTGACTTTTGAGTGTGCAAGAAACCAAAGGGGTGAGAGAGCTATCAAGTATCAATCAACCCACATGGCGATGAGTAGATTTAGAGCACTGATTTCTTCGTCCAACTTCAAGTCTCCCTTAATATCTCCTCCCTTTCAATCTTCTCCAATCCGCAGATTCTCTTCATCCCAGTTTGAGGTAAAATTTTTCCTCTTGGCTTTACAACTTTTAATTCTTAAACCATAATTTATGCGTCATTTCAACTTTAGAATCACACTTGATCATCATCTTCACTGCAAATTCTCATCTGGGTTGTCATATTTTTATGGGTTTGTTTCATTTTTTTTTTTTTTTAATATTTGTTTTCTTTTAACAGTCATTGTCAATTAGTCATGCTTTATTATGTCATCAGGAGAATTTATATAATTTGTTTTTGTTCTGTGTGAAGTATTTTTCATGCTCAATCAGTGGAGAGTGTTCTTTTGAGTTTGAATTTGTGAAATAATTTCACTTGATTACCATTTTGCTTTATTTACTGTAATTAGTTGTATGTTACCATAGGCTATAGTAACATACAACTTATTACAGTAAATAAAGTCTATAGCATATGTCACCAGAATAAGTTTTTGTTTAATTTTTTATTTTGTTTCTATTTCACGTGTATGTTATTAAAATGATGTAAACTATTTTTACTTTTTTGTAATTTTATTTCAATCAATGTTTTTCAAAAAAATATGATGCAACTTGTTATCAAATAACACTGAGATACTGAAATTTTTTGTCACGGTAACTGTATCGGGATTTGCTTTTAGGATAGCAAGATTTCTATTACTGTACATCTTATATGAGTTCTATAAGAAAAATAGCTTATGGGAATGAATATGGAATGTATGTAAGAATAGTGTTGAAGTGGATTTTTTTGTGTTATTGTCTGTAAGCTAAGTATTGAGTTTATATTTGTAAGATGGTCGATTATGTGTTTGTATGGGGTTATGTAAGTTGTAATGTTGAAATAAAATTCTGCTGTACCAAACACAATTGCGTAAGTCAGCAGCCGATTGAGTGATAGCTTTTTAGAACGATTATTGCACCTCATTGTATTTCACTTTAGAGTTCCAATAGTATAAGAAGATATGTTTTTTTCTTGGGAATTTTTGGATATGTAGTAATTACATTTATGTTTATATTTGCACATCTATGTAAATGTAAATATATGGGTATAGGGTGCAATCTAGAATTGGAAAAGGTGTCAATGATTGTCAAAATTGTCTCTAGCTCTATGCATTCATGGTCAACCTAATCTCGTAATGCTTTTTGTTTAAACCATGAAATAGGGGGTGTGTGTGTGTATTCATTTTTATTTATAGCTGAATCATGCCTATTATCACAAGTGTTCAAGAAGAAAGACGTGCCATTTTGTATATTCATTTGTTTATAGCTGTATGTATATTAATCGGCCTGAGTTTCTATTGAAATAATGCTGTTCATCTCATTCTTATGTGTTCTGTCAGGGTTAATTAGTGAAAATTTGTGCCATTTTTTCTGCTTATTATTTTTTCATACTGTCTTATTTTTTTACTCTGAATTTGTTATATTTTTCTGTTTTTGGACAAATTACAGAGTGTTGGATTCATAGGGCTGGGAAATATGGGATTCAGAATGGCGCAAAATCTAATGAAGGCTGGATACAAACTGACTGTTCATGACATGTAATGCATTTAAACCCTCTTTCTTGCACTTATGACGTTTTGGTTTCCTTGAATTGCTACTATCTGAAGAATTTTTTATTAGTTTTATAATCTTATAGTAAATAACATGTTGGCTATATATACATATATATTATTTGTAATTAGAGGTACTTAAGTTTATTTGTTTCATAATCTTATTGAAGACATATTTGCTATATGAATTCAAATGTTTGATCTGTATATGTAAAACATCATCTCTTTTGGAAATAAGTCTTATTTGTTTCTACTATAAATTTGATCTGTTTGTTCATAGAAAGTATAACACACACAACTTTATTTTGAACCGAATTGGCAAGTCTGACTTCAATTCAGAAACTGTAATGTCATGAAGACATTCTCTGAAATGGGCGCCCTTACAAAAGAAACACCTTCTGAAGTTGCAGAAGCAAGTGATGTTGTAATTACAATGTTGCCTTCGTCATCTCATGTGAGTAATATACCAGTTGGCTTTTCCTCTTATCATCATGTTATCATCCTTTTTGGATATTAATGTGAATTATACTTGTTTAATGTCAAAGGTTGTAATTATTTATGTCTCCCCTTTAGTGTTTAAAGAAGTGGCCCTTATGTAAGGGAATCCAGTTGACAATGAGGTGGAAATATAGAAAAAGTGCAGTTTGTTGAACTTTAGCATGGAGTTCAGTTTATGTTATTTTGTAAGTACTGATTGTTAAACACTTTATGTTCTTAGAACTCATGTTGTCTGCACTTTGTGGCCTGAAGGATCATGTTGTCCAAGCATGTACATATTTGCATTGTCTTATCCTCATTTCCGAGTATAAAAAATGGGGATTGCTGATTATGCATTAAGTATGAACTTTTGATCTTATCTGTGAAGGTATTGGATGTTTACAATGGACCAAATGGCTTGCTTAAAGGAGGGAATTTCCTAAGACCACGATTATTGATAGACTCGTCAACTATTGATCCCCAAACATCAAGAAAGATATCTGCTGCAGTATCTAATTGTATTCTAAAAGATAAGAAAGGTAATAATGAGTGAATTTAACAACTGAACTGTGCTTTTACCAGATAGCCTCTAATTGTTCCTCTTTACTCTGACATTACATCCATACAGTCCATGCTTTTTGGTATCTCTAATAAATTAATCTTCAAGTTAATTCATATATACACGGGTAGCTACTATGTGCAGTTTGATAAAATTATCAGATATGCTAAATGTATGATCAAGTTGAGAGGGATATTTATCACTTTATATGGATTTCTGTTCAGGAAAAACCCAGGTTCTTCAATTGATGACACTGGTGACGTGCACCTTTTTATTGTTGACATTATTATCTTATATTTAATAAATGAACTGAATAAGAATAGTTTTGATTAAGAGAATTTCTTGTAAAAACAAGAAATTGTCACTGTTGGGTGGTTCTGTATTTTTCATTGACTGAATCCAGAAACTTTGAGATTGTGATGTGGTCAGTGGAAAGTTGGCATCCTTCTTTAAATGAATTATTTATTCAAAAAAAAAGGAAAAAAAAAAAAAAATAACTGATGGTATTTTTACATACATTACTATTGGAGTCATTATCACCATTATTACAAACAAGCCAAATAGAGAGCCAGCAGTCTTTGATCAGAACCAGCAGATTATAGAGCCAGTCTTCAAAGAATTTTACTTTTCTGTCTTTCTTGTGTTGGATATAATAATTTTCTCTTCCCCTCTGAAAATTTTACATATACCTGTGTATAGATTTATGGGAGAACCCTGTCATGTTGGATGCTCCTGTCTCTGGAGGTGTTCTTGCTGCAGAAGGGGGTACACTTACTTTCATGGTATGATCCACTTCTCCCTAATCCCAAAAGTAAATCTTCAATTTTCTTTGGTCTGATTATGGATCCTTTGATAAAAACTCATAAGTTTTGCTTTTTTGAAACTGTCTGTGGTTGCTTCTATTGTTTTGAAGAGTAATTTGCTTCAGTTATACAATCTTGATATGATTTATGTATGACTGGGAATGACATGTGAATGATAGATATCTATTTCTTTTATTTGTCAAGAATCTCTTGTAGACTGTAGTAACTTATAGTTGGGTACATGGCTAAATTATATTAGTTTGATCTAGCATTTCTGTTTTTCTGCAAGTAGAAAAGCTGAATCCCTTTAATCTAGTTTTATGTCTTGTATGGTTCTTGTTTGCTACGGAAGCAATTGGGTTTGGATTTAGCCAGCGCTAAATTTGTATCTTAACTCTATGATATCATTTTTCTAGTTGTAACTTTATCTGTCAGAGGTAAGAATTCTTTCTGCAATTTTGCTGCTATTCTTGTAGAGTTTCCAATTTAGCATCACCTTTTGGTTATAGCATATTGAAGAAGTTTGCATTATGGATGTTTGCATAGGTGGGAAAATGTATTTTACTGAGCTATGAAAGTTCTATTAGGTACCTAGGTTGGCAGTTGGTGCTATTTGACTAATGAACTAACGATGCCATGTCATTTAGGTTGGTGGCTCTGAGGACGCCTATCTAGCTGCAAAAACTTTCTTCCTCTCAATGGGCAAAAACACAATATATTGTGGTGGAGCAGGAAATGGCTCCGTAAGTTCCCATTAGTACTTGAAGCTAAATCCTTTTCTGTATGTTTTTTCCTCTCATGGCATAGGACTTATAATAGGCAGTGAATAAGAAATATCAAATAGGGGAGGCGACTTTGATTGTTTGAAACAAAACTATTAATTGATCTAAGATATTTGTATTATTTTAGTCTTTTCTTTCCTAATTTTCTGTTTGAGTCATTTTCCCTTGTGAGCTGGCCTGGTGGCTTCAGAGCTAACAGAAACTTGTCAGTCATTTCATTATACATACAGACATTTCCTGTTTTGTTCTTTGGTAGACTATCTCTTATGTTGTTTGTTTCTTGCCAAAACACACCTATATTTGGTTCCTTATCAAGCATGCCTTATGCTGCTTTTATCTTATTTAATGTACTCCAATGACTTGGTATTTCAGATGTGTAGAAGCATCATACTGTCCTTGCATTTCACCACCCATTTTGTGTAGATGGTTTGGTTCCTTATCAAGCATGTCTTATGCTGCTTTTATTTTGTTAATGTGCTCCATTGACTTGGTATTTAAGATGTATAGAAGCATCTATCCTTTCCTTATGGTTTGGTGTTCTTGTGACAATTGGACAAAGTTTGAAACGCTGGTGGAGAGAATATTATCTTTGCTGTCCAATTGACATACATTGAAATGAGCCAGACATAATCAAAGTCTAATGGGTCCAAGACTATAGTCTTGACCACTGTGCTTAGATTCTAAATCCTAAGTCCCCTTGAGGGAGTTTTAGATTTGGAATCACTTACTTCTTGTTTTGTCTTCTATTTAGTGGATTACTGGTCCACCTCTTTGTAAATTATCATTTTAAAAACTTCGTATCATTAAGAAAAAAAAGTTCTTCGATCTTCTAGATATGGATCTGAGTCAAACCTGGATCTACTTTCTGATCCTGCTAATGTTAATCGATACTTATCCATCTTTTTGGTTGGTAATTGTGTATTGTGCAAAAGCAATAGACATTAAAAAATTATTTGTTAGGTTCCTTAAGTGCTTGCTATCACATATGCCCCTCTTATATACATAAGAACAACGTAAAATATAGTAACAATGATTTTAACACTTTGTGGGAATTTGTGCTTCGTCTATCTGGATTTATTTCTAAGCAACTAGCATCTTTGACATGATTTTGTTATTAGGCAGCAAAGCTTTGCAACAATTTGGCAATGGCCGTGAGCATGCTTGGGGTGTCAGAAGCCCTTGCTCTTGGTCAGTCACTGGGAATAACTGCCAGTACATTGACAAAGATATTTAATTCTTCAAGTGCTCGCTGTTGGAGTAGGTAAACTACACTTCTCCAGGTTCATCCTCATTATTGAGATTTGGTAGCTTTATTTTTTTAATTGAAGCAATAGTTTGACTGCCAGCCCTTGAAAGCTGAAACAGTTCAAGTTCTGGCTGAAAAGAAAATAAATGGAAGAAGAATTCTCTTCCTGCACGGTTTAAAATCTTAGAAGAGTGCATTGTCACATTTTTATTCAATATGTTCAAGGAAGCTGAATTTGTCAGTTTTTCCTTGTCAGTTGGTCAATATTTCACGCCAATGGTGCTCTCGTATCATTTTTCAGTGATAACTTGAGGCCATTTTTCTGTTTACTTGGGAAGAAAAACTTGAGAAACAATCTATCCATTTTTACTTCTTAGAGGGATTACATTGATATATGAAAAATTATTTACAAAAACACATGAAACCAGCATGTAAAGTGCTGCATACTATAATTTAGAAAGGCAAAAGTAGTTATTCTTCTATTGGGTTGATTTATCTAAAACTAGCAAATATCTGGGGAAAGTTCTTTCTTAAAGGTTTACTAATTTTATCAACATCCATAAAATGGCAGTGATAGTTATAATCCAGTTCCAGGAGTGATGGAAGGGGTGCCCTCTTCAAGGAATTATGGTGGTGGATTTGCATCTAAGCTCATGGTACTTTGGCTTGTTTTATATTTTTCTTATAGAAAGTTTGTTTATAATCAATGCTTCACTAGGTTGCTCAATTTATCACTATGGATAGCAATCTTATTTATAAGTCGGAATGATGTCTCTGTCAATGGGATTGTTTTCTGCAATCAACATTTAGCCTCTGTTTACTGCATCCTTTAGCCCATAACTAGATTGCTCAATCATTACACATTTATCTTCTCTTCTGAAATCCTGTAGATTAATTATCAATTCTTAATGCAGGCCAAGGACTTAAACCTTGCTTCTGCATCAGCAAAAGATATTGGTCGTGAATGTCCATTAACATCCAAAGCTCAAGAGATGTACGTACCTTTGCTGATAGAGTTAACATCTAGAACTTGATTTGATTCTCGAATGCATTTTCGTGAGCAATGAACATGATATGGAAAAGCTAAATCACAAGCAAACTAGTGCTGGAATACTGGTGCATTTGTACTATTCCAGCACAGTTCGCGCTCAAAGTAAATGAAAAGCTAAAATCTAAAAACATCTTTTCCGTTAGTTGATGGACAAAGCAAATTTGAATAGTTTACTAGATGTCAATTTATATAGCTCGTGGAGAACCATAGTGGCAGACTGTAGTTGGAAAATGAAACATTCCAATGGATGTGAATATTATCATATCCTTTTGCCTGCATAATACTAGATTTATGTCATTGTTTGCATTGTCTTTAGCTCTTTGCCTAGCTGATAAATTCCATGTAAAATCAATTGCCATAACACGTAGTGATACAAACCTTGGACGTTTTCAGCCTGCAGTTGCCTTATATTTTAGCTGAGAGCCTGGGACAGCCTACTGTTAACCATTTTACTTGTTGATAGAACTGTTTTTCATTAATATTTTACTTTGTCGTTAAAACGTTCCTATAAAGTTACGTTTGGAAATTCCGATCAAGATTATGAAGTTTGATCTGCATTAATCTCTAGGACAGGAACTTGGATATACTATTCTATATCATATTTTTCAATTTCATATACTAATGTCAGTTCTGCTTTGTGCAGATACACGAAAATTTGTGAAGAGGGTCATGAATTTGAGGACTTCTCGTGTGTTTTTCGCCATTATTATTCTGGCAAGGATGAGGTTTAACTTCATCATTCAAGGATCTTTGTTTTAGAATAAAAAGTTGGAAGAATCTGAGCTTCATTTTGAAAATAATTATTCTCTTTTATATCAAATTGGGTTTTCAATAATCTCCCCTAAGTTGCCATTGCACTTCTTCCTTTTTTCCTGCTTGCCAAAAAAGGGTTAACACATAATGTATCTATTTTAAAAGGATTAATCTCATAACCGTACCCTCGGTTTTAAGAAACCATTTTAAAGCCCTGGATGACCAGAAGTTTTTGATACTTTTTTATCATTCTTAAAACTCAAAAAAATAGACACTATGCAAAGAAAAGTCAGCTCAAATCTATAAATAAATGACACCTTAGCCTAGAAGTCTTGAACACCCTTTCTAAGTAAGTAGGCCATTGAAGCTTCTCATCTCTCAAGAATAAAGAATAATGAAATTTCCTTAAATTTCAAGGTAATTGTCTAATTGATGTCCCATGCATAAAGAACACACCTCTTCTCCATCTATTTGATTTTCAGAATGAATTAAAAATCTCTGTCTAAGGGGTTTTAAATATTTTGGGTAATACTACATATCCCAAATGATAAGTCATTTTATTTGGTATTGCCATGTTATTCACCAAATCCCCTATTTATTTAGATTTCATCATTATATAGGATTGCACGTCACTTGGGATTTATAGTAGTATTATTATTATTATACTTTTAAAGGTGTAGATGTATGATATATGTTGGGCTCTTGTAAGGCCTAACAAACAGCTAACTATTGATATATGACAAATCCAGATATATGGTAAGTGAGTTCTCAAATATATTATCTGTTTTGGACTTTGAAGTCTACACGATTTTGTCTTAAAAAGATATCTCTGGGTGATGAGGGTGTTCTTATATTATATAAACGACCAATGTTTTTGTTTTTTAACCGATGTGAAATTTGACATCCACAAAAAAGTTTTATTATAATAATATGGTCAGATTTTGTCTTAAAAAGAATGTTTTTGGTAATTTCAAGGAGGTTTTTAGTACTTTTGGAGAATAGTTGGAATTTGAGACTAATAATATGGTCAGATGTGCAAAACTTGTTTTATTTTGAAACCCCTTAAAATATGATTATTTGTGGTCCAGCCCTAAACTAATATTTAATTTACGGAAGAATACCCAAGAAACAGAATATTAGAAGGAAGGAATAAATAAATTAAAATCCCCTTGACAAACAAGTCGTTTAAAAGTCACACCACAAGCATGGGTTGACCAGACTGTCACTTTAACTCAAACTGAATCAACAAAATTCCATCTCTCGTTCCGTTAATTTGTTGGTCACAGAACTTTCTAAAATTCCTTTAATACCCCCAACCTTTCCCTCCTTCCTTTATAAGCCGTCCTTCCAAAACCCCCACGCCCAGAACAAACCAAAACCTTCAGAATGCCATTGCTAATTTGAAGGTACAGTTATCGCTCTCTTCGTTTCATTTCTTTCCTCTTTGATTCTTTTGTATCAATTGCTTATTTATTTATTTTGTTTTTGTAACGCCAGAACGCTTTTTTTTGTTTTTGTTTTTTTGTGTTTTAATTTTTTAAAGCTTATGTTTATTTTGTTTTCATCATTTTCAAATAATGTCTCAGAGGCTGCGTTTGCCAGAGGTTTTGTTGGAAATGCTTTGAGTGATAGTGCTTTTCTTTTTCTTTTTGCTTTTTCTTTTTGGTGCTTTATCTGGCAGTTCTTGAAAAAGTGCTTTAAGTGCTCTTTTTATTCTAAAAAAAAGAGTTGTTCTTCTTCTTCTTCTTTTTTTTTTTTTTTAATTTATTTGTCTGAATTTGATAACTTATAATGTTTGCATAAGTATGTGAAGTTTAACGATAATGGGTATTACTTCATTGGAAAACAACTTGTTTTATCTATTCATTGATGTGTTACTTCGAATATATGGGTGTCAATGTAATAAGTATGCAAAACATGTCAATTTTCCCGTTGTATGTAGTGGGAAAGAGAAGAAAAAGAACTGCTATGAATTATACAGTACCAAAATATTGCAGTATAAAAGCATTTAGTTGTTGAAGTGTATCTATGTTTTTGTGTACTGTGGTTTCTTTTGTGGACATTTAGAATTGGAGAAGGGCTTTTGAGGTGTCCATTTTCATGTTTTTGTAGAGATACGTGTTTGGATTTTGGAATTCTCTATTGAAGCTATTTGATGTTTTGGATTTTAATTTTTACTTTGTATGGTTTTTTCTTTTATGTTATTAACGATTTTAATTTCTACATTTTACTGTTTTGTTTTTGACGTTTTCTTGTATATTAGACTTCCTGTAGAGCCAAGGTGCATAAAATCCTAATAGATTGTGTGCACTGTAAGGGAAATTATTTGTGTTAATGATCTAGAGAGTTGAATGATTTAATTTTCATAGGATCTTTTCAGATATAGTAGTATCAATATATAAAAGATGATAGTGTAAGTTGATCTTTATTAAGACCACCTTGAGAAAAATGTGCATGCACCACATTTATTGTACACATCTGTATTGTGATTACTGTGTCATATAGAGTTAGATGCAGCCTAAATATTTGAAATATAGATCATTCCATGTAAAAACGTGTATGGTATGATTTTAACCTTTCCTATTTTCTGAGGTTTGAATTAATTTGGTTGTCCATGTGCAGGAGGTAATTTGGTATAGCACTGATATAGTTGTTTAGTATTTTAACTCCAACAATTGGTGAGTGCTGATGGAAACTGAAGGGCCCTCAGCTGTTTCTGTGAGAAAGGCAAGTCTTACGCCTAAGGCTATTATATTCCAGAAGTTTGGTAAGGAGGCTCGCTATACTGTGGATGAAGTAAATGTTGATCAAAATGGATGCCCAGGATTGGCTATTCCTCAGAAAGGTCCTTGCCTTTATCGCTGCATTTTGCAGCTTCCAGATTTTTCTGTTGTGTCAGAAACCTGTAAGAAGAAAAAAGATGCTGAGCAGTCTGCTGCTGAGAAGGCCATAGGAAAGGTTTGCTTTACCTTACTTTTCCTATGTCCTTGTGATTATCTTGCCATTTGATATACTTCCCTAATTTGGGAGCCTTGATTTTCTATCATTGCATTTTGCCCATTGCTCATTGCTGTGGGGTTATCTTTTTTTAATTCTTATTGTTTTTCTCTGATTAATCTAAGTGGTTTATATTTCATGTTATTATAATTCATGTATAGCCAAGTTTGCTGGCATGTTGCTTTTTCACCGTGTGCTCAATTGCTTACGGTTAGGCCTACTGATTCTGCACTTGATGTTATAATCAATGCTTGAAATTACCTTGGTTTTAAGGAGCTGGATGGTTATATTAGGGTTTCAGGTTAGTAACAGGATTGTCAATATCTCCTTAAAGAAGAAGAATTGCTTTATTGAAACTTTGGCTTCTTTGATGATACAATTGCTTATCCCAAAAGAAAAAGGGTTCTTCTTTTTTCTCAATGTATCACTTATTATCTATTTATTTTTGTCGTTGCAGCTTGGCATTGAGACTTCAATGGATAATCCCTCTGCAGAGGAAGCATTCAGTAAATTAATTGGTTGCGTAAAATATCTATTTTCAGATGAGGTTGGTAGTTCTTCTTACATGAACTGTGAAATGTCTATTTCTGAGAGAGAGAGAGAGAGAGAGAGAGAGAGAATAGGAAGCATCCTTGATTCAGCAGATCAAAGTATAAGTTCACAGTTTTTCATATTCATATGCGGTGTTGTTTTAAAGTACATTGGATTATTATTATAATTTCGTCAGTTATTGTTCATTGACCTGACGTTAACTAATCGAAATAGTGACTGTATCTTGCATTTATGTCATTGTCAAAATTTCTTATTCAATTAAAGTAGGGTTGAGTGCAAATATTTATCTACTTTCTTACTGAATTTTTTCTTCCCAGTCTAATTTCATAAACAGTAATCATCATTACCAACACATGGAAATCTGACATGTAAATGCTAGTTGCCCTTTAGCTTTGTTAGTTAAGTGGTTGACATGGAGTAGGTAGCTAGGAATATGTTTGGTGCATTGCCTTAAGTTTTAGTTTTACTGAATTGTAGAACTGTCTAATGGAAAAGAAGAGATGACTGAAAGATAAGTTAGTTTTTTTGAACCTTGGTTATTATGTCTGGTGAGGTATACTTCTTTCGAGAAATCAAGCGGTACGATTATATAAACATAACTCAAGAATTTTTTGTCCTTCTCTGCTCTTTTCCATGTTATCCTTCTGTTATACAAGAAGTTCATTTAATCTAAGTAAAGATGGAAGCTAACATTTATGATCGTTTTTGTTTGCTAAAATTTGGTTTTTAAGCAAATCTTGCATTGAGTTTGCTTGGGTAATCAAACCTATGAATTGTGTCATACTCTTTTTCTGTTACATGTGAGTAAGTTTAATTGCTGTGCTCTTAATGGGCTTTATCTTTTTTTGTCATTGTTGAAGTTCCTTTCATCACTTCACCCCCTGAGTGGTCACTTTAGAGCCGCTTTGCAGAGAGGTGGTGATCTTTACAGTTCAGTTCCTGCTTCTATCATGGCTGTATGTGATTCAAAGCTCAGTAATCTGTGTAAATTAATTAATCCTGAGGCGGAGTTAAATAATATTTTGATCATATCATATATCATGAGGGCTGCTGCTAGGTTATCAGAGTCTGTTGTTACTTTTGAGGGACAGCTTTCTATATGGAGGAAAAATCCATATCCGCCTAATATTATAGAATCATTAGTAATCCAGCAATCTAATTCCCCTAATAGCATATGTGTTGGAGCCATATATATTCCGTGTTCACTAGAGAAGGCCATTCAGTCAGTTACTCTTGATGTTTCCTCAACTGGCTATTATCTGGATGTTATTGCCCGAAAACTTGGTTTAACAGATGGAAACAAGGTTCTTGTCTCAAGGTAGGTGGAACTACATTTGCAGAGGCCTGGGAAGATTTCTTATTTTTTATTTTTCAACTTCTCTTTGGTTTGTGAAGTAGGATTACTTTAATTCCTTGTACACCATGTTCGACTAATTCATGGTTTTCTTTTTATTGGTGTCTAGCAGGACCCTTGGTAAAGCATCTTCTGAGATGAGATTGTACTTTGCTGCTCCGAAGTCATTTTTTTTGGATCTGGCATCTGATCTTCCTAATGTGAAAGAAGTTGCTCACTTTGAAGGTTTGCTGAATCCAAGAGCAAGCTACTTCTATGGTCAAGAAATATATGGTGATGCAATCTTGGCATCCATTGGATACACATGGAGGTCTCAAGACCTTTTCCATGAAGATATCACCCTGCAATCATATTACAGGTGTCTTTTCATTTCACGTACTTCCTGGACTTCTTTGTTTACTGTCTTACATTTTTCTCCTAGAATGTTTTTCGAAGCCTTTATACAAGACTAAATTGTTTGTTTTTCACCTGTGGTGGCACGATCTTGGTTGAATTGCATGACTGTTTTGTGTAATATTCAAGCTCAGCTACACATTTTATCTTCTAATTTTCATTATATGGAATTGGTAAAACACTGCATATAATTGTTATTTCTTTTTTCCTTACTCGCTCTTGTGTTAATTTTTGATCTCATTTTCTCATATAATTTATTACCTCTATAATATTAGGTCCACCACACTTTTTCCTTCTATTATTTAATAGTTGACTGTTAGTTTGTTCAAAACTGTGGAGAAAGTCAGATCATTTAGAACTCTGGGAAGATTGGAGTTGATCTTGGACAACCTCTTGAGGTTATTGCAATTTATGCATTTTAATTTCTCCTTCTCATGATCAAGTTTAATAGGAGGATAATTATATGCCTGTTTTCACACCTGCAACTATATTGCATGAACCTGGGTGCTCTTGAGGCGTCATTCAGTTTCACATGTCTTAGTTTTTTGTTTTACGTGGTATGTCTTGTCTGATGCATCTGTTCAGATATTTAGTGTAAAGACAAGAAATTTCAAACTTGAATTGCCTTGATTTCATAATCATTTCAGATCTGCTTATCCAGGATGCTTATAAATCTGATGCCCAGTGGAGTTTACAAATTGTCCAGAGAGGCAATACTTACAGCAGAGTTACCCCTGGCATTTACCGCGAAAACAAACTGGAGAGGTTCCTTTCCGAGAGAGATCCTCAGTATATTTTGTCGTCAACATTGGTTGTCTGAACCTGTTTATTCTACCGTAAGTATGCCTTTTGAAGCATCATCTGAGTCATCAAGATTACACCAGAAATTGGTGGTTCCAGAGTCGGCTGAACGAGAAAAAGAATGTATAAAAGGAGGTGGCAATGCCACTAGTGGCCAAGAGCCTGTTAGATGTGAAGTAAAATTGTTTTCCAAGTGTCAAGATTTAATTTTGGAGTGTTCACCAAAAGAATTACACAAGAAGCTGAGTGATTCCATACAGAATGCTTCTTTGAAAGTTCTCTCTTGGTTAAATGCATATTTAAAGGACCCTGACATGTCTTTGGAGAAGCTAAACTATTCTGCTGGTGCCCTTGACATTCGATTTTCTCCCGAAAACTTTTTTAAAAAGTTTGCATTATGTCGTTCTAGTCATAATGTTCACCATAGTGAATCTCAAGGAGGCAGATTTCTAAAATCAAACTCCATAAATATGCTAGATGCTATCCCAGAACATGGAGTTTGTTGTTTAAGCATAGGAGGTCCTGATTTTGGTGTCTGTCCATCTAATGGGTCGTTATTATTTATAAGTTATTCTGTATCTTTGGTTATAGAAGCTGAAAATATGAAAGAACTTCTTGAAAGCAAAGAGGAGTTTGAATTTGAGATAGGAACTGGAGCTGTTATTTCCTGTGTAGAAGCAGTTATAACACAGATGTCTGTTGGTCAGTCTGCGTGTTTCAATACACAGTTGCCTCCTCAAGAGTTGATTTTAGCTGCAGCTGATGATACTGCTAGAACTCGTTCACTGTTATCATCAAGTGAGTTCTCAATTAATCTCAATTTAAGATTTTATTTTTATTTTTTTCATGAAGCTTTGTTTGGTATTTAGACATGGACTACGTTTCTTGATATGCAATTGACAAAATCTGCTATAGTTCTGGATTCTGAGTTGGTGCACTCAGTTTTGCTGATAAAAGGCGTGCATTTTGGGTTGTGGACAACTTTGGATGTGCATCACCCAAAAGAGTGAAAAAATTTGAATGAATCAATGTTCTAAACGCTGGATGGTTATTATTATTCTTTCTGAAGGTTGACTTGTATGGTTCTACTACTTCCAAGTGGTAGGAAATTCTGATAAATACCTTTATTTATGGGTGTAATTATCTGGTGACAAACAGCATTGCTTACTTAGAAATGACCAGCACAGTTTAGTTTCTCTTTATGCTGTTCAAAGTGGTGAATTATCTTCTAATTATTTGTTAGTATCATCATTACTATTATTATTACTAGTTTAAAAAAATAAGTTGCTACCATTAAATTAAGTGACGATGCTTTGAGAAATTTATTGCTGAAATTTCTATTATGATGCAAATTCTAGATGAACCTTTTTGACTTCTAATATCCCTCTGATATGTAATTTCCATAGTTGATGGATGGAGCCTCTTATTGTTTCTTTTATATCTTTTTAAAGAATGTATCCAATATTTAATTATCCGTGCATTGCATTTGCCAATATTGTTATTTTTGCAGAAGCTTGCTGCTTGGAGTACTCTATATCATTGTTGCGCATGACAGAACCCCCAGAGGAGAGAATGGAACAGGCTCTTTTCAGCCCTCCGCTTTCGAAGCAACGGGTGGAATATGCAGTGCAGCATATTAAAGAATCTTGTGCTACTACTTTGGTATATATTTAATATGTATCCTGCTTTTGATTATCGATGATGATATGAGAACTGAGTTTAGATTCTTATCATGTCTGTTCCTATTGCAGGTTGACTTTGGATGTGGTTCTGGAAGTCTACTGGACTCTTTATTAGATTATCCTACAGCTCTTGAAAAAATTGTTGGTGTTGATATATCACTGAAGAGTCTCAGCCGGGCAGCTAAGGTCTAAACCATTTAATGCTACGGAATATTGCAATTAGAGATTTTTGCTCTTTTCTTAAACCTAATCTGAAAGTTTCTCTAAGTTAAGGTCATACCTAGGCTACAGATGAGATTTATCTTGAGGTGTGAATCAAGTTGAATTTTCTCTACATATAATGTGTGCATGGAGGTCGGCTAATGTTTGACAGGTCCGATCATTGGCGTCTTTTTCTCAACTGGTGGGCCTCCACGGTTACTGATATAGGATTTTCCTGCTATGGACACTTAACGTTGGGGCTGTTTTGTAGTTTATAGTTCTAATCATGGCTGACTTTTTCTATATGTTATGGAGAGGTAAAATATATAACATAATCACATGCTGGATAGAAATGCCACAGATAGATTTACCATATGGCAGTTTATGTTACAAGAGGATCTCTGTTGCACTGAGTTGCTTCCAAGGACAGAAAAGATCATGCAATGTTACTGTGAATATAATACCATAGAATGGGTTAATTAAGTAAATTTCAACTAGGTGGCTGTAATTCTTAGTCGTGCATTTCTCATAAAAATAAATCTAATCGTCTGTGTTGATCACTAATAAAATTTAATTTTGTTCTAAACAAAACCGAAAAAAACTATATTTTGCTTAGATTTATATGTCCCACCAGTATTGCATGTCTTTTAGGAGTAGTCTGCTGATCGGAGATTGAATTATGGAATTATTTAATCCTGTAATATAATTGTGTATAATGTTTATTGTGTTTATTAAATTGGTTAGAAACTTAACTCCATAATTGCATTTTGCTAATACTGCAGATACTTCATTCAAAACTCAACTCAAAGTTGGATACTGTCATTCCACGTACCGGCATAACATCTGCAGTTCTTTATGATGGTTCCATTACAGTGTTTGATTCTCGTTTGCGTGGTTTTGATATTGGTACTTGCTTAGAGGTATTCATCAACCCTTCTTAATCTTACCATCAGAGAATTGATCTTTATTTATTTATTTTTCTTTCTTTTCTGGTCAAGAGTTATTAATTGTTTGTTCTCTAATAAAATAAATAACAGAAGGAGTTGAGAGTTTTTTGTTGTTTTACTTGTTCCAATCTGACCTTTGTTCCGTTGACTTTTCATAATGTTATTGAAGCATTTCAAAGTTTTTTTTTTTGTCCGATTAATTCACAAATAATGATACTATATGCCTAAAATCTCACAAGTAAAATATCATTGGAAATGGATGTTAAACACTAGAAAATTTAAAGACTAGTAAGTTCCTGGGAAGATGAGAGACCATTTTTTTTTTTTTTGGTTATTTAATAAATATTTTGTAAAATAAAATGAGAAATTGGATATTGTATTTCCAAATATAATTTGGAAACAGTTTCTTTTTCAGTTTTAGAACTAAATATTGAAAATGTGAATAATTCTAGTTGTCTGGAAAACTTGAAAAGAGAACTTCTGTATCATCTATCAACTGTGAGATAGATTTGAAAACAGGAGTTCTGATCAATATCCCTTAGAGAGCTCTTAGCCAAATATTAGCATCATGTGTCTTTTTGAGTACCTGAATAACGATCATAGATTGTCTTACTGCTGTTACTGCAGTATTGTAATAAAAAATTTATCTGACCCCCATCCAACTACATGGGCGGAGCCTTTTCATAGCCTTCAGGGTCCATGGCCCCTCAGGCCGTTGCAGGACCTCATAATAATCCTAACAGTTCTTGTTGAGCACTACTAGGACCCTATGTTTCCTGTCGTTATTTGCAATAGTGCAATTGTGAAAATGAAGTCCGGCTAGCCAATACAATGCAAAATCTTTGCTTCCATAAAGTAGAATCAGTTTCATATGTGATGAAGATTGCATTTTCTTTTAATTGACCACTTTGTTCTGGCTGAAAAATTTTTAGGTGATTGAGCATATGGAGGAGGATGACGCGTCTTTGTTTGGCAACATTGTGCTAAGCTCTTTCCGTCCAAGGATTCTTATCGTTTCCACCCCAAATTATGAGTACAATGTAGTACTTCATAAATCAAGTCTAACAAGCCAAGAAGATGACCCGGATGATAAAACACAGTCACAATCGTTCAAATTTCGCAACCATGATCACAAGTTTGAATGGACTAGAGAACAGTTCAATCGCTGGGCATCTGAACTAGCGGCAAGACATGGTTACAGTGTTGAGTTCAGTGGGGTTGGTGGTTCTGCTGACACCGAACCAGGGTTTGCTTCTCAGATCGCCATCTTTAGAATTGGTTCTGAAACCAAGGAAGATACTCGAAACGATGAAGAGGTAACTCACCATTACGGAGTCATATGGGAGTGGGATAGTAGCAACTGTTCAAGGTCTGCTTTTTGAGAAGTAAATGCTAACAGCGGTTCTAGTAGCACGCATAAAGGAGATTTTGCTTGTAATTTTACTGGGTCAAAACCAGTTTAACTGGAAGTATTGTGCAGTATTTTAGATGCCGATATGGCCTGGTAACCTTACTGAACTGGTTGGTAACCTAAGTTGTGTGCAGTTATTAACATAGAAGCAATAGATTATGATATAGATGTATGTCCATATGATGAAACATTCGATATTATATTTGTTTTTGATCTCTCAAAGTAATATTTATCAAAATCATCACTACTAAGAAAATAGCATACTCTCTGGGTCATTAATACTTTGAATTATTTTGGTTAAAGAGATTTGGCTAATTGGCAATGTTTATTTTCATTGTAGCAAATATAGTGGATAATTATTAATTTACAAAATTTATATATTTTATTAAATCCATGATTTGTAATACAAACTGTATATATATATATATATTAACATTGTTAAGGATACTTAGTAGTGGTGGTAGAACTAGAACATTATGCTTGAAGGGGCTAAAGTGTAATATTTATTGAATGAGGGAGATTAAAGGTTAGCAAATTTATTTAGGAAATTGCGTTTAAGGGATAAAATAAAATTTTCAGAAATAATGGTGGCCAAACTGGAGAAATAGTTTTTAATAAGATGAAATTGTTATTTTCATATGGAAAATTTTAAATTTTCCTGGCGGTCAACCACCGTTTAGTAGGCTAGTAGTTTGATTATTTTCATCCTTGTTATTTTTCATAGAAGATAATTAAGTTAAGTGACATGATTTTATGGTTTTTTTTTTATATTTTAAATAAAACCTTGACCTTTCGAGAATTAGAATCAATAAAATGGTTAAAAGAAACACTTTATCCACCCTGAGGTTTTTAGGTCTTAATAGGGAGTATATCCTATTAAGATATTAATTTTTTAAAAGCTGCTGTACTACAAGTCTTATATATTCTTGTTAAAAGTGTGCATACACTGGTACGATATGATTTTGAACTCCAGTTTCGCAGAGCTCCATCTTCAACAATGGATGATGGTGAGTGGTTATAGTGGATGGTTATCGGATTCATACAAATTGAATGAGGAAGGCCTAACTCCTAAGAGCAATCAAATTAGCCTCTTTGCCCTTCAAAAAAAAAAAACACTTCACTTTCCTAAGACATGTTGTACGTAATAGGTTAACACTCTTTCAACATTACGTTGATCCGACCAAGCTGTCGTCGAAAGAAGTTACAAGGATTAATTAAATCTCTATCTGCCATATCCCACGTTTCTAGCGAATGTGGACGAAAAACATCTTATGAAACTCAAAACAATATCTGCACGGTTGGACTTGTATTGTTACATGATGTATTGTTGGTTTATGATGCATCAAGTGAGAAATATAAGGTAATGGTGTTGAATTTAAGATACTTAGTCATTGCTACTTCTATTTGTTAAGTATGAAAAATGACTTCAAGGGTTTGAAAAATGAATTGTGGTGGCAGTCAAGATCCAGACTATGTTAAGGGTGCGCCATCAATTTTTTTTTTTAAATTAAAATATGTTATTCTGATTTGGTTTGACTTTAGCCTACCCTTAATTTTTATTTTTAAATATTAAAACATCTGACCAACTCTCAATTTTAATACTAAAAAATCTTGGAATAAAACTTGTAAAGCCTTCCTCTGCATTTGCAAACCCTCAGTCCGGTAATCCCTTACATCTTCCTCACTTCCTCTCTTGCTTTCCCTAATTCTTCATAGTTTAGCCTTCAACAAATTTCTATCAGCTATTTTCTCCTTGGTTATTACTTTTTTTTTGTTTTTTTTGTGTGTGTATAATTTTTTTCTTTCATTTGTGTGTATTAGCATTGTGCATTGAATTTTTTATTGAGAAAACTTTCAGGAAAAAAAGGGAAGTTTTTAGATTCCAATATTTTGTGATAGGTAAATGATTGTTTTGTGGTCCCAAAATTTGGAAGAAAAATAATATATAGATAATATAGATAGAATCAATGAGGCTTTTATTTTTATATATTGTTTAAGACTTTAAGTTGATGATTGAAAACAAATAGAGAGGATAACAATGTGCGGGTTCATTTGGTTGACCATGAATTTTTTTGTTTGCTGAAGCCTGAAATGGCAAACAAAGATTGGTAACAGCATTAATAGTCTACTCTAATATTATATTTGAGAATATAATACTTCTTTCTTAATTGCTCCATTATCTTTTATATACATAAATCCTACTCAATTTCATTTTTCCCTGCTGAAAAATCATTAAGAAGTGACATAATTGTGATTCATTATTTAAGACCAATAATTATTTAGATGAATATTATGGAAAAAAATAAAGAATAGTTGAAAAATTTAGAATTTCCATAGTTATTATAGAATTCAATTCAATTCGTGAGTTAATTTATTTCTTTGTATTTATATAGTTTTATTTCTTTGTATTTAGATATGAAAAAATATTTTGAAAGAAAGTCATATAATTTTATTTCTTAGTATTTAGATATGGAAAAATATTTTAAAAGAAAGTTAATTGCTGAGATATCTCAACTTTGTTCTGGTGTCAATGATAATGAAAACCAATCTTCTTCAAAGAAAAATTACTTCAAAGTTGACTTGGAAAATCTTCATTTTGATCCTGGATTTCGACCAAGAATTACGTTTTATCATCATAATGTTCGAGATCAAGTCAGAATGTTTTATCTACAAAAAGGGTCCTTGTCAACCTCGCAACCATAAGTTTCCCAAATCAAAATCTGGTGATCGTGAATGGAGTTTCCAACGTTCTTGGTTGGACAAATATCCTTACTGGTTGGAACATAGTGTTGAGAATGATGCTGCATATTGTTTATGTTGTTATCTTTTCAAACCAGATAAAGGTGAGCAAAATGGGGGTGATTCTTTTGTTCTTGATAGGTTTCACAATTGGAAGAGACTTGAGAAATTTAAATATCATATTGGAGGTCCTAATAACTATCATAACCAAGTTTTGAAAAATTACCAAGCTTTGAAAAATTGTCAAGCTTTGATGAACCAAAAGCAGCATGTGAGTACAATTATTAATAAGAAATCTGACCAACAACGAGAATATTATTGTATTCTGTTGAAATGATCAATTTCTGCTAATCAACTTCTTCTTCGGCAAGGATTTCCTTTTTGTGGCCATGATGAGTCTGATAATTTATTGAATCCGGAAAACTTTCTTAAACTTTTACACTATACAGTTGAGCAAAATGAAGAATATAGATTAGTAGCATTGGAGAATGCTCCTAGACATGATAAATTGATTGCTCCTAGTATCCAAAAAGACATAATCAATGCATTTGCAGTTGAAACCATCAATAAACTAATTAGTGATCATGGAGATGCTTTTTTTTTTTTTTTTTTTTTTATTAGCTGATGAAGCTCGTGATGGATCCAACAAAGAGCAGATGACAATTATCTTACGTTATGTAAATAAAAGAGGATGTGTTGTTGAGTATCTATTGAGCATTATGCATGTCACGAATACGATTGCTTTGTCACTAAAGATGGGAATCGAAACATTGTTCTCTAAATACAATTTGAGCATTTCAAAATTACGTGGACAAGGTTATGGTGGTGCGAGTAATATGTGATGTCAGTTTAATGGGTTAAAAGCACTTATATCGAAAGATAATGAATATGCCTTCTATGTTCATTGTTTTGCTTGCCTACTTCAACTAGTACTTGTAGTCGTGGCAAAAAAAGATACAAACATTGAGAGACATTTTTTGAAAGTTTCTTGTGTGATAAATATTGTTGGATGGTCACCTAGACATCGGGATCTTCTTAATGAAAAACAAGCTTGGAAGGTGAAAAAAGCTATTGAAAGTGGTGAGCTTTCAGCAAGGCAAGGCCTTAATCAAGATACTAATCTTAAGTAGACAGGGGAAACACGCTGGAGTTCACATTATGAGACTTTATTGAGCTTGATTAATTTGTTTTCATTTGTTATTGAAGTGCTTGAGGATCTTATTGAAAATTCTGATAATAGAGTTAAAGTGATTTGGTGGATTATATGACTTCTTTTGATTTTGCTTTTAACCTGTACATGATGAAAAACATTTTGGGAATCACATTTGAACTTTCACAAGCATTGCAAAGGAAGGATCAAGATATTATAAACGCTATGTCTTTGGTTCACTTGTCGAAAAGAAGATTTTCGTTTATAAGAAATAATGGATGGGATAATCTACTTGATGAAGTTTCCCATTTTTGCATTGCTCATAATATAAATGTGTAAAATATGGAACATAAATTTGTTGCATGAGGGATATTGCAGCGTAATGTTCAAGAGATGACAAATTTATTTTATTATCGTGTCGAGTTGTTCTATGCCATAATAGATTTGCAACTATTAGAGCTTAATAGTCGTTTTAATGAAGGTAATACATAATTACTTATTTGCATGACCTTCCCAAATCCAAGTGATTGCATTCAAGCATTTGATAAGGGAAATTTTGTTCATTTTGCTCAATTTTATCCACTTGAATTTTCTTCTACTGATCTTATGACACTTGAACTTCAACTTGATAATTACATTGATGATATGCGCTCGAATAGTGATTTTTCAGAACTAAATGATATTACTAGTCTTGCTCAGAAAATGGTTGAAAAGAAGAAGCATCTTATTTACTTATTGGTATATTTGTTTATTACATTGGCTTTAACCTTACCAGTTGCAACTTCAAGTGTAGAATGGGCATTTTCTACTATGAAAATTGTGAAGACTCATTTACGCAATCAGATGAGAGATTAATTCTTCAATGATAGCCTAATTGCATATGTTGAGAAAGATATATTTGATAGTGTTGATAAGGAGATGGTCATCCAACGATTCCTCAATATGAAGCCCCGCCGAGGACAATAGTAAATGTATTTTTTTTCTTTTTGTGACAATTTTGACTAGAAAAACAGAATATGCATGTTATGTACAATTAGTTTTCATTTGGCCCATCCAAACATAAATTTCTAGATCCGCCCCTGTCTACGACAACAAATGATGATTTTTTTTTCATTTTTTATGAATCATTTTGAAAGGAGTATTATATTGGATAGCAAAATGTGTTGGAGAATTTAAGAGTTTCTTAATTGAACTAATGAACATTGTAACAAAAGAATTCATGGAAATCATACAAATTCCGGCCTGGCGGTTGTTGGAAAGGATGCAATTGTTGGAGATGAAAGGATCAATGTGTTTGATGAATCCAACCTCTGATATAGAGTTAACACATGGGTTCTAAAGATTCAGTT